TCTCTTTTGAGATTCGCCCTTTTGCTTCATGTCAGGTGGATTGGGGTTTGAAGATTGCTTCTCTTTCACGGACATCTCATATTACTCTACCACCTTTTTGTAGTATTCAACCCCCTCAACTCATAGGAGCCGCTTGGAACCGAATTTCTAGATATTTTGTCCAGCATGTAGACCGCCCTTAGGTAGCTCTGCTCCCGCCGCCGTTGTACTGTGGTTGGTACTGCCGGCAGCTTTGGAGGAAGGCGGAAGTTCTTGGCTGGTAGGGATACCTGGTTTGGCATCCTTAGAAATAAGTTGTTCTGCTGCTTGTGCTTCTGGTGTACTATGGTTGGTACAACCGGGAACACTTTTGATTGTCTCCTGGCTGGAGGTAAGAAGGGTGTCCTCATCAGACTCCGTAACGACGGTGCCCGGGTTCCGATAAGTAAGTGCCAAAGTCAATTGTCCATCCAGTATTCGTCATCAGTTTGGTTTCAGTTGATGTTTGTTGTTTTTGTTTTTTAAATTCGTCTTTCATATTTGGTGCCTCGAGCGGGTTCGTCACTCGTCCACAGAACCGGCATACGTGGAGAAGGCACTTATACCTCTGACCTTGCCCGGGCATCGAAGGGGACCGTTCGCGGTCGGCTATTCAATATACACCCGCTAACCATTCAGCCATCGGCAGGGGTACCTCAACACCTTGGCTTAGGGTGTTGCTGGTGCGGCTATCTCCACATACTTTCCAATCGGGAAGTTTTGCTCACATACTAGCTTGGTTTCTTAGCTTTCCTCCCGATTGCGAAGGATATGAAGCTTTCCTCTTATTTCATCACGATCTAGAAGCTCCCTTTGGGAATTTCCATGTCGTCATTTAAGGCTCTTCGCCATGGCAAGGCGAACAGCATTAAAGGAGTCCATGTCACCATAGGACGCTGAAATAATTTCAATGCCACTTGATTGACCAAAATTCAGCGCTACTTCCCCCGCGGGGAAGTACATACTGACATTAAATAAGCATTGGCAATTTGATTTCCCAAAGTTTGTATGACACATCAATTGGTGCTGCATCCTCAAGTAGCACACTGGTGTATAACTTGGTGTAGATTTACGAATTTCGGTATAAATCTGATTAATTGCACCAAAATTCACAAATTTACACCAAGTTATACACCAGTGTGCTACCTGAGTCGCTAAGGCAAAAAGACTGAAATATTGTCAAAGCTAAACGATTTTTCAAATTTAATATTTACGTATGTACGTATGTTCATAAGACTTAGCGAAGTCTTTTAGAATAATTATAATACGTATTCTAATTTTATGACCGAACTGTCAACATAAAAAGTTAAAATTAGCAATTTCTTCAATAAATCAATGCACTAAAAGAGATTCATGTGTTCGTTCGTCGCTTTCTCAGATTTTGTGAAACTTCTTGTTTTAATTTTTTTTTCGCGAATGTAAAAAAATATATGTAGTTCATGCTACAACAAAGAACATATGTAAAAATAATATTTCTAACTGTGCGCAAAGCTCAGGAAAAATCAATAAATTTAAAGATTAAGATAAAAATAAAAAAAAGATGAAAATGAAAAATAGGTGAATATGAACACAAAGGCGCAGATAAAAATAGAGATAAAGAAAATTATAGAGATAGGTAGAGATGAAGATAAAAGGTAAAAGGTAGGGATCAACCTGAGAATTAAGTTGTTTTACATCACGTTATAATATTCACTCATGTCAACCCAACTCATCTCACTTCACATCACCTCACCTCAACGCTGCTGGTAACATACAAAGCAATTAGCCTGGCGTTTCTGAGCTATGCCGCGCCTGTGTGGTTGCCGAGAACCATGCCCACCTACGGGTACACAGTGACGTCCAAATACCCGGCAGCATAACAAAGTGCTCAGCAAGAAGTATCTGCTTGGATGTCACAGGCGTGAGCAGTGTAACATACCCCAGTTTGAGTAAGAGCCTCCGCCGAGGCATGTCAGAAGGGATCTTTTCGAGTACATGGATGCGGCCCAGACTTATATCGCCCAACCACTGGACCTGGCGACGTACCAGCGAGTTATTAATGGCATTCATAGGGAGTCGGTCACCAACGGGTCGAAGCCCAATCTCCACCTATTATAGGATTTAGAATTTCTATAGGGTTGCCACCTGTCTAAAATAGCATAACATCGGCAACGTTCGTTGGATTACAAAAAAAATGAGGTGTCAAATGAAAGGGTTTGGCCTCTAAATGTTCAATAATGTATTATTTTTGTAGTAGGGTTGCCAACTTTTAAAAAGTTATAAGATCTTCACCATTAGTTTTACTAAAAAATTAAAAGGTATGGTCTCCGGATGCGAGATAAGCTTTTATTTATTTTTTTTTTGTGTGGGGCTGCCAGCTATTTACAAATTACTACCTTACATACATACATATATAATGTGAAGGCATTTTTTGCGAATGATATCAGATTTACACAATTAATTCAGTTTAATGAAATGAGGTGTCAAGATGTGGGCTGTTCGTTGGACTAGAAAGTGAGGTGTCAAATGAACGGACTTGGCCTTTAGATGTGCGTTAGTGTAATATCTTTAGAGTAGGATTGCCACCTGTTAAGAATTATGAGATCCGCACCGTTCGTTAGATAAAACATGAGGTTCTAAGTGGCAGGCTATCGTCTCTGGATATGCAATAAGGCTTAATTTTTTTTGACTAAGGTTGCCACCTATTTAAAAATTATTACCCTAGATGTATATAATATGCGAAGGCATTTTTTGTTAATGATATCAGATTTGATACTCCACCAGTTGAGAGGGCTTTCAGTTATATATTTTTTTTATTGCGTTACAAGAATAATTTTTTGAAAATAGCATGAGGCTGCTAATGTCAAATGTAGCCTCCTGACTTTCGTTTTCACTTAATCTTTTTCCAAAGAACTCCTCTATCTCATTCTTTTGGCTGGTTCAGAATTTAAAGAACCTATAAGGTCATCAAAGTTTTTCAATTTTAGTTTTTGTAATACATCTAAATTTTTTCTTCTATGCCTAGCTCGAAAAATGTATGTATGCTTATTGCGAGGTTCCAAATAGGTGGGTATGGCAAATAAATTGTTATTTTCCAAGAATAAAAATTTCGAACAAAATTCAACAGTAATTAGATAACACAGCAAATGAATGACTTTATATATCGACTCGTATGTTATTTAACAAAATACAGCTAAAATGCGTCAGTCCTTATATTTTCCGTTAAGCTGAATTGCTCGAAGTTTAATGCAGCTGTTGGCAAAAGCAAAAATTAAAACTAAAAGAAACGGGAAAAAAATCCAAAACATTTGTCCCCCTGCTTATGCTAAGTAAACGTATAGTATTTAAGTGGCTACTGTAGAAATTATCTGAATATTCAAATAAAATACCGGCCCGCCGGAAAACACACAAGGGGAGAATTGCTTTTACCCAAAACTTTGCTTTTACTAAATTTTCGAAAAAATAAAATAAAATAAAAACACAAAAAAAACGTCACATAATTTTACCCATCCACGCGTCGCACTCACGAAGAAACAGCAACCAAAAACAACAAAAACCAAAAACACTGTCGCATTCGCCGACTGCCAGGAATACGCGTTTAATAATACATATTTTTTGAAAAATTCAGAGCTCGCAGAGGACCACTATGATAGACAGACACAATAGGCAAGTTAGTATAGTTTAGTGCGCGATCCAGCGTGGTTCTTCAACAATTAAGTAAAATACCAAAAGTGTAGAAATATTTTCGGAGCAAATCGTTGTCGGTATTACGGCCGCAGGGTTCGACTTAGAAAATAGCGCGCGCGCTGGGAGCGTACGGCGGGGAGTGTGTAGCGAGCGACGTGTTTAATCAAAAGAGTTACTGAATGAAAGAAGCTGCTGAAATATCTAAAAGTTTCTTAAAAATAACTCAACAAAAGTAGCGGAGCGCCAGTGGCGGTTGTGGCTAATACTTAAGCATAATAAATCTTTTGAATATTTGGTTAAAAATAGAAATGTTTTGATGCTCTGAGAAAATGACAACTGCTAGTTAATGAAAGCACGCATTTAACGAGTAATTTATTTTAGATTATTATAATTGTAGCTGAAGAGAAAAGTGTATAGCGCTTGGCACACTTACGAAACAATTTTTTGCAAATCACCGACCTTTTAAAGTAAAATAATTTAAAAACGAAAATCGAAATACAAAATTAATAAATCATCGAATAACCGAACATGTTTTCGCGATTTCGCAATCTATTTTCGAAAGCAAAAACCGAAACTCAGCCGGAACCGGAACCGGAAGTCGCGACTAACAATAACGCGTACGGCAATGGCGGCATAGATCAGACAAAATTAGAAAAAAATCTTGATTACGAAAAGGCTAAGGATTCCGAAAACTACAAAAGCCTTTCGCCTGAAAATGCTGGTAACACTTGCATTGAAAGCTTAACATCTTCGGCAGACCGCTTTGCAGAAGTCGCTAGTCAAAAGCAGAGTAGCGAAGCGCTGCTCCCGCAATTCTTTCAGCCAAGCACGTCCAATCCCACTGAAAGCACTTTCGACACAAGTCTCAACGAAAATAAAACAGGAGAATCTATAAATACGCCAGAAAGTGAAGAAACAGCACGACAAAACGACAGTGCAGAAGATGTAGGCGCCGCAGCCGGCAAAGAAGCTGTGGCAAATTACGGAAATGGGGTGCGCGAGCTTGTCAAAGTTGACAAGGCGAAAATTGAGGTCAACACTGTATCGGTAGATGTTGGTGTTAAGCAAAGTGAAGCTGCACATGCAGTTAACGAAAATGAAGACACCACAATGGGGGAAAGTACTTTGGCAGCCCGAAATGAGAACGAAATAGGGCAACCGCATATAAATTTAGTTTCCTTAATTGTCGCTGAGTGCAGCAATAATGCTGAGACATCAACCAACACCAGCGAAACTTCACCTGAGCCTTTAGTAGCAGCAAAAATTGCACAACAAGCTATTTTAGGTGCTAATGAAAATGTTCAAATTACTTCTAGCATTGCAGTTGATGAGCTGGTAACGGATGCATCTAGTCCTGCCGGTGATACGCACACTCAAACCTCCACTCCGGATGGCACAACGACAAGTGAGAGCACTGCTGAGTCCAGCACCATCGTTATAAAACCCACTGGTAACAATGAAATTGCGTGTACGGCCATTTCGAATAAATTGCAGGAGATTGCCGAGGTGGCCGAATCCTTGGACGCCTCTATACGGGATGTGCAGCAAGATGCGGAAGCATTGGAGGCGAATGCTACAAGCAGTGCCGAGAAGAAGCGGGAGAATATGAGGAGTAACAGCAGTGAGGTGAGTTAAATTGATGGTGGAACATTCGAAATATTTTTATTTGCATGTGAATATTGTTTTCATACAGGATTTTCCCGGAAAATCTGTTTAGTTTAACCAGGTTAGATTACTAAGCTAGGTGCACTCTTAGATGGATATTATTAATTGCCATATGTGGCACTATTGAATGGTTATCTTTGGGGAAAGAAAGACGATGTTGAACAAACGGTAACGATTGGAATCGCTTATAAAATATATTGCCAGAAAATAAGGCCCTAAATGTTGAGGTTGTAGCCCCGCAAAACCATGTGACAAGAGGAAAATATGTTGAGATCAATATCTAGAGCTGCGTCTTACTTGATTAGTTTTAGAAGCTGTCCTTACCGATTCGTGATACTTTACAAGTATTCAAGAACAGACCACTTGTAGTCAATTGAATACCCACATACTCTTTGCTTGGGGAGCCCTCCTTAAGGATGCGTTGATCTTCTTATTAGAGAAGTGTGTGCCTAAGTCGTCCAGGCCTCGCAGAAATAGTTTCCCCGCAATTTGATGTGTTTTTGTTTAAATAATGCCAGGCATTGTACAATATGAATTATTACTCTTCTTCACCTTTCAAACTTCTACAGAAGTCGGCCTAAGTGCGGCTCCGAACCTAACGGCTGCGGCTTTTAGCTCAGTGTTTCCGAAAAATCTTTAGGCTCCGCTCATAGAGTGATGGCTAAAGAGTTCGCGATATTCTGCTCTTGTTCAGATTAGACTGCCTGCTGTTCACAACTTCTTCTTCTTCTTATTTGGCTCTGTAACCGCCTAAGCAATTTTAGCCGAGTTCAACAAAGTACTCCGGTCGTACTTCTTTCAGGGCTGCAGCGTTTGTGTTCATTCGAACGATATGGCCAAGCCGGCGGCGCCGCTGTATTTTAATTCGCTGGACTGTGTCTTTATCGTTGGCACAAGTAGTATTCAAAAATCACTTGAGGTCGTAGTTTTAATTTTTCCTAGTTATTTCAGAGTTGAGAACCTGAGTGTAACTATTTTGCGCCAACGTACCCAAGGTGTTATTATAATTACGACATTCACTAAACCCTGGGTAAACTATTGAAACAAGTTCCAGCTGCTAGAACCTGGTACCCCTGTATTTATATTTCTTAGACTGGATGCTTCACATTGGGGGTCCTCATATAAGCTTTGAAAAAAGTAGTAATTGAAATCCGATTTTACTTCAATTCGGCATGTAGTATCTTTGCCTAAACATTTCCCCGCCCACTACATTACGCAAATTTTTAGTGACCACAGCTGCTTTAGAAGTTAACTCCACGGGCACGAGAAAGATCCGTTTTTCGAGATTTGCGGCCCAGAGATCGAAGAAGACGTCGAGCATGTGATATTTGCTAGTCCGAGTTTTAGTGATCACCGACGAAAATTGAAAGAATCTTTGGAGACTTAACGTTTCACCAGAAAACTTAGTTCTGTAAATGATCGAGTGCGGGAAGGCGTGGAAGACTATCTGTGGTGTATCAGCCGAAATTATACAACAGCTGCTGGTAAGCGAAAAGCTTCTGAAAATGGTGACCAGGATTTTTCGAGCAATTTTATCCAAACGGCCTTCTAAGGAAATACTTGACGGTAGTACCAGGGGGAAATCCGGATGAGAAGTGGTGGGTTTTAATGGGCTAAAGCCTCACACTGACGGGGTAACGGCTTTCGATGCTCTCCATTTCAAGAAAAGAAATTACATTAAAGAGCAGGTATTAACTAGTGGGCGTGTCACATTTAAATTTTTCTGATTAAAACCAAGTTACCAATGGAATTTAATTGAATCCATGTTCTCCTCCTATTGTAGTAGGCGCGGCAGTTTGTCAGTCTATGAGATTTTTCACATTCATTCTTTCAAAAAATAGTATCCAAATATAAAGCATCCCCGATAGAACATCCCTGATTTGGTCGGTCATATTTTTGCGTTTTTCAATCAAAAACATTCCCCTCCTTTTTAGTGAGGGTGGACGGGTGGTCTAGGACACCCTGTATACTTACATACAATATCGATTTCGGCTACAAAAACTTCTACGTGACTCGATTAGTCCAAAAATATGATGTCTTTAAAGTCGGTCAAAGAGTTTATAGTAGAACCCCACAACAAGCTTTTCCGGTGCCGTCGCTTCCGGCACTCAAACCGTAATATAAAACATATGGCTGAATAGATTACTGAAAGCCTGAAAAGCTTGCTGTATAGTTTTACTCTTACCGCTTAAGAGTACTGTACCACAAAATGCTTTTCAGGCGGCCGCACCTGTTCGAGCTTCAGCACTTTGTTCAGCATATATGTTTTATTTACGGCGTAAGCGATCAACGCCATGAAGTTTGGAGGCATGCTTTCTATTCGCAGCTAGTACTTGTTTGTGTAAGAAACTTTCGACACCTACATACATGTTAAAATAATCCTACTAATTCATTTTCAAGCCAAATTTATGTTTAAATAAATACCAAATTGCGCATGATTGTAAAGCAACCTCTAGACTAAAGCTCACATTTATAATTGGCTACTGTTGCCGTTAAGCCTTTTTAATCTTAATATTTTTTATTTTCATAATATTTCTTTTCTTCTCCAGGATTGGCACTCTCGTTCTACGGAGGATGACTCTTTTGTTACAGCATCCGAAGGCAATTTCACGCCGCATTCACATTCATCCTCATATCAAACCGTATCTGGTCGCACCTCCTCATACATTAGTTCCGACAAGAACTCATTTGATGTGAGTGAAGCTGATGATTCCACCTTCGCATCTACTTATGAAATTCCCGCTGACATTAATATGTCCTTCGATGGCTCAGAGCAAAGTTTCGTATCAGCTCAACAACAAGAATCGATGCCTTCACCACAGCAAACACAAACGATCCATCGTCAACCGAAACACACAGAAGAGCCAGAAGAGTGTGCTGGTGGCGCCTACGCGTTACCACCCACCGCTGATGAAGGCGTTGTCAATGGCGATGGCGATGGTGATGGCAGCAGCATTGCTGACGTGGAGGAGTTGCACAGTCAAAGTGTTACACCCACACCTGGTGATGGTGATATGGAGCAATATAATTTTCGTAGCATACCCGTGGAGTCAGACTCTGATTTGGATACATCTAGCATAGTCGATGCACCAACCATAGAGATGCTGACGGAAGTAGTGCCGGTCACATCGGTGACGCCGGAGGTGAGCACGTGTTCAAGTACTGAGCAACAGCAGCAAACGCAAAATCACAACAATACCAATACCACTAACAGTAATAGCAGCAATAATACTAATAGTCAAAAGCCAAATGCCGCTTGGCGTCGCAGCAAATATTATGAGAATATAACCAAGCAGACCATTAAGGGATTTCTATAGATGAAAAGCGTGCGGGGGCGGCGGCCAATGACAATGGCAACGCCAACGCAACGCAGCGCGACGCCTGCCTTGAATGCGTTCCATTTTACACACACGCACGAATGCGTATAAAAAACACTAATATTTTGTGAAATTTATTTGCTTAAGCTAAATTAGTTTGCTGTTTATTAGTTGATACGCAACTAACCGTGAACTTAACCGTACGTTACTGAATACCTTGACAAGCGCATGAGAATCGGAAATATCTTTTTAATAATTGTGCTTTGTATAATTGTATGTATGTATGTACGTTAGTATATATGTACATATATACCGTGGATATACAAATAGTATTTCACGAAATTTGGCTTATTAAGTAATAAAAGAGACAGAAACGAGGAAAAATTTTGGATAGGAATGGACATATGTATATACGTAGATACATATATATCTGTGTCAATGTGATAAAACACCTTAAGTGACTTTAGAAGGTTTCACTTTGGATTAAAAAAGAATAAGTTTCTCTTAAAAAAATTGAAATTTTTATTAACTTTTATTAAAAGAGCATCTTAAACTACGCCTTTGGGTAGTTAATCTTGAAAAAATAGTTTAGGAACTCAATGAAATATTGCTTTAAAAAGAAAATGGCCTAACTCGAGATAAGTTGTTTATAAGTTGTTTTGTGTCACAGATATGTACATATATAACACTTGCTATGCATAGTAGTGATGTGCGGTTCCGAGTATTTTTAGAACCGGTTTTGTGAACTCAGGTTGCCAGAGAACCGGAGTTTGACGAAGTGGTAACAGAAATAGGCCCTATCGAAATAGCTAAACGAAACGATTTTAAAAGTTTAATTTCTTTTCATATTTTTGCAAGGAAAATAAATATGTAAATATATTTTATTCATTCCTTAGTTGACATTTGTGTTACAAAAATTTTATAAAAATAAAATTTAAGTACGCGTTTTCCACAATAAGATTTCAATTAAACCACAGTAATTTTTCCATTTAAATTTTAAAAGCATGTTTTTTCTGATGCTGTCGCTGCTCTTTTGACGCATTCAAATAACAGCTGATAGCGATTTCAAAATGTCAAAGATAAGGTAGAAAACTAGCATAACATTAAAGGCAAGAAAAAAAATTCGTAGGTCATTTCGGAACTCCATAATACGTACACAAACCAAATTTCAAGTCGATATTAAGAAAAACAACGAATTTGGTGTATGTATATACATAAGTCGGCCAGACCGGGTATATGGCGGCTATATGATATAGTGCCTTGAACCGAACAAAATTTGGTAGGTCGACTCAGAACTCTATAATACAAATCAAAATCGAATTTCGGGCTGATATTTTCATATTTAAATTTTATGCAAAAAAAGTAAATTTTTGGCCCATAGTACAATGTGCGCTTCGGCGCCGATCTTCAGTTCTGTGGGAAGAACTATTTTCGGTTATTTTAAATGATTTTTCAGTTTGCTTGGACTTAGGGCTTCTGTTTTTCTGAGATAATTTTTGAGTCTTTTGGACAGGGACTGAGAAGAAAAGGTATGATCGAAACTCGTAGTTTTGTTCCCAAGTACCCAACCCGAAATGAGAACAAAACCTTCGTGAGTGTTTTCCAAAGAATGAGAGTGAGAAAAGAACTGTCGATAACGTTCTCAACGGGAATTATATAGGAAGAAAGCCCTGTGGAATGTTCCCCAAGCCGAACAAAATGCGCACAATACTTTCGAAAACTCTCTTCTAAGAGAAGAGAATGGGAACAGAAGTCTCCGGAACGTTCTGGCAAAGAACAAAACTGGCAACAAAAGTCTAAGAAACTTTCTCTCGAAGAGAAACTTGGTAACCAAAGTCTCAGGACTTTTTGATAGAGATTGAAACGGGAACAAATCTTCTCTGAAGTATTCGCGAAGACTGGAAGCGAGAACAAAATTTTCGCATAGCATTGCATTTGTTTGAAATGCTTGTATATATTCAAATTAATGAAAAAAGACTTAAAGATAATTATGCCAATAAGGTCAACGAACGCGAACTTTGTTTTTTTTTTCTTTTGCAGGAAATGAAATTGTCCTCATTTTGTTCCCGTTGAAACTGCTTTCAACAATTATGTTCCCATTTGGTTCTTTTGTGTGGGAACGTTCTTGACATTACATTTTGTTCTCATTTAGAACTAAACCAAAACCAGACGGCGTTCTCGGTCCTTGCTTTTAGAATCGAGTTTCGGTTTTTCTAGAACCGTTTTTCGGTTCTTTTTGAAGTGAGCTTCGGTTGAGTTAGATCCGTTTTTCTGTTCTTGTAAAACCGGCCGGTTCTCTAAAGTACCCGGTTCTCCGGCTCCTCGGTTGTGCGTCACTAATACATATACACGTTTATATGTTTGAATGAAATACACATATGTATATACATACGTACATGTATACGTCAAGCGATATTTATTATTTATTTAGAAAATTTTGAGCAAAGCTAATATTTTTCCAAGCGTCAAATGCGCGCCTCATTCAAGTGACCATGAATGACATCCGTATGTGCTTACGTTTTGGCGTCAGTTGCGTGTTTGTTGTTTTAGAAAACCGCAAAGCATTAAAGTAATTTTGAAAAATACTAAAATATGCATACATACATACATACATACAATTGCAAAGCCTGATAATGCAAGTTTGCTTTTATTAATTTAAGTTTTTGCTGATCAATTAGTTCTTTTTGGCAGTTTGCTGAGTTAAATA